GCTTGTTGTTTGATATATATATATATATTGATATAGGATGATTTCAGTGCCTATTGCTCAAACTTCTTCGCGTGTTAAAAAAAATCCGCAAATCACAAATCTCTCCTACCCATTTTAGTATTTACGCAGTAATAACGGTCCCTTCAAGCGGACTAATAAGAAATTGAAAATAAATTTATTTTTGTTAAACCTAAAACAGAAACGTATCACTTTTTAAAGTATTGAAAATGTAAAATACTGTGGTGATGAAAGTTTATTACAAAAATGATGCACCTTCGTTCTTTCATTTCATGTATGAAAAATTCTGCATGCTGTGGTCAGGAAATTAATAAAATTTGAATTATGATTAGAGGTGGAGATTTGAATGCGCTAGCTAGTCAGGAAGTTATCGAAATTTCGATTGCAATATTCCATCATCACAAACACTAAAATCAGTCAATAAAAACGTAGTAAAATCAGAGGATCTTAACAAAAATTTATAAACATTATTATTCATACAAAAATTATTATATACTGCTGAATATATGTTTTTTTGTTGTTTTTTTTTCGTATAAATAAGTTGGTATGTAAGAATAAGATGAATATATACTGCTGAATATATGCTAGTATATAGTATATGCGAGTATGAATTAACTGGAAAATTATCATTGAGCAGGTAAATTACGTTGATGCAAAAATTAAATCTCGATCTTAAAAATGTCAAAAAGACGTCTTATTAATAAAAGTTTTGTAGATTTAATTGAATACAAAATTTATTTGATAAACAATGAAAGCACAAGAATCTATTTCCATTATAATACCAGTAGAGAATGTATATTTAGCATATTAATAACTAATTTAAATAAGTGAGATTTGGTTTGAAATTAGTATACAGGGTGTTCAGTAATCAATGCTTTTGATATTTATTTTTAGAACTCGCCAGGCAGAATTGTAATAAAAAAAATATGCATAGTGGAGATCACAAATTAATTAAATTGGGAAAAAAAGCGAAAACGTTGTCAAAATAAGAAATACGAAAGTAATAATAACAAAATAATTAATAAGAAAGTCGAGATTAAAAGCATCAAATGTGATTATTAGAAACTCCTTTGAGTTCAATCGGGCAATTAAATCAGTAATAAATGTTATTAATTCCCCTTATGTTAATTGATGTTGTTAATTCCTTAATGGTGATGATTACGAATCATTTCATATAGTTACTATAAACATTGTAAATATCAGCTTTAAATGCCTGACAATTTTATTTTTAATTACAAATTTATTTTTAATTGGAGAAGAGTTGCCGAAATTGTACCACTTTTCAAATTTAAATTTTTATCAGTCACAGATCATTGACAATTGCATCTGAACTATTTTTAGTTATAAAATAGAGTCTTTCATCTACTTATATTATTATTTGAGCAATACACAGTAAGAAATTTTGGTGTGTAGTCGCCATTATTTTTGGCGGTGAGATATACTAAAATTTTTTACAGTGCAAGTAGTCATAATTTTATTTACTTCCTCACTATTATTGTTTCATTTATCTATTTTGTTTTTGTTTGTTTGCTTACTGACAACGCATATTTTCATGCGCATTAAAGAAAATTTAATGGCTTCACGGCGAAAACGCTTCGTTTTAAAAACAAGCACATTTCAGTAATATATTCGCAATAATTATTTCAAACAATTGTCTTAATTGGCAATTTCATATATATTTTTTTCGTTAAATCTACAGCTTTGTACTCAAAAACTAATTTATTTTATTTCAACATTTAAAATGGTGGCAACTATACACCAAAAATTTTTACAGAATGAGTTCTAAAAATTTATTATTTTCGCTAGACCTGCAAGTGGTATGATTTGAGAAACTGGTTGTTTAATTCTACCACCTGCTTCCTAAATCGTACCACTCTCAGAAATATAAAGTATTTATGATTAGGTGAATGTCCACACCATATGTAACCCAAAACAATTGCTTAATAGTATAATAAGAAATTTGTCACAAGTATAGTAACAGTATTATAAGCCTATAAAATACTATAGGAACATGATGTTACGTGCTACAAAGTTCAAGAGTGGTTTTTATCTGTGCTGCTTTTTAATCTTTACATTTAAAATCAATAAAAAAAACTCTCTTTTTTAGAAATGGTGAAATTAGTTCGATTGAAGCCTTTAACATAGAAAATACTGGGATAGATCGGTCTATCAAATCACAATTACTAGATCACAACTCGACTAACCAGAAAGCTTATGACTTAGATGTTACTTACCCTTCCTTGGAATAAAAAAAAATTTCATTAAATTATTATATTTACTGAAATAAGTTCTTTTTTTCGATTGATTAACGTATAGATTGAAATTTATTGCTGTCAGAAATTAAAATATGCAAATATTGACGCTCAGTTATTGGAGTCTTGCTATAAGCTTCACTCACGAGAAGTGAAACTTGGTAACGGATAAATAAAGTTAGTTAAGAAATCACAGCCACTTTTGTGACTAAGAGTGAAGTACATTTTAAATGATTTGAAACTCGATCGGTTCAGTAGTTAAGTTGATACGTTGCTTCTAAGTCATTCAAACACAATTTCGAAATACGCGCGATGACTTAGCCAACTTCGTAGTGAAACAAAGCATTATTCCAAACCTCAGACAATAATTAGTTAGCAAAGAAGCAAGTAGAAAATAACTGATTAAGTAGCTTAACATATGAATTAAAAAGTAGCTTAACAATGATGAATTAAATGGTCTGTACATACCAGAGTTGGCTAAAACTGTAATCGATTACATTTTTTTATTACAGTAATCAATTACTTGTAATCGTGATTACAATTTTCAAAAATTTTGATTAGAGCTGTAATCATGATTACAATATTTATTACAGTAATCAATTACTTGTAATCGTGATTACAATTTTGATTACAGCTGTAATCATGATTACATAGTCGATTACAGTGATCAATTACTTGTAATCATGATTGCAACTTTCAAAAAATTTTGATTACAGCTGTAATCATGATTACAATTTTGATTACAGTAATCAGTTACTTGTAATCATGATTCTAAGTAATAGCGATTACAAATAATCACAACGAAAACTATTACGGGTAGTTATGATTACAAGTAATCAAAATATATGTTTACATGTAATCATGATAACATGTAATTTGATTATTGTGATTATTTGTAATCTAAATACACGATTACAAGACTATTGTATTCGTATAAATGATTATATTTTTTTCAGTAGATAGTATAATGTATTTTATAATGATACATTTTGCACGCATTTACATGTACTGCATTTTGCACGTATTTGTATACGTACAAATGAATGTAACTTAAATGTATGTACATATGATTTTATCTAGTGCATCTGTTCAGACATTTTAGTTTCACATACATGTACATGCACTTATATTGTAAGTATAAAATATATGTACGTATGTATATAGCTAATAATTACGTATGTATGTGCAAACAATGTAGACATGTACATTTATACACAATGAATGTATGCATTTTATGCAAATATTTGTGTATGTGAAATGTATATCTATGTTCATGTACTCCTGTTTATACAAGTGCTTGTTGTTTGTACAAACATACATACATTGTCTGTACGATGTATGTGCCATGCATGCATGTGCAATTTATTTATGCACAGTATGCATGTACAATATAGGTATATATGTAGTATGTACAATATAGGTATATATGTAGTATGTACAATATATATAGTAGGTACAATATATGTATGTATACATGTACATGATATGCAAGTCCAATGTATGGATGTACATATACACAATATGTTCATGTTCAATGTATGTATCCAAATATGCATAATACATTTGTGTACGATTGTACGTACATTGGGCAATTTATATTTTACATATATTCATACATACATTCGACATGCATAACGTATGTACATACACACATTTGAGATGCATATATTGTACAGATGTATATATTGCACAGATGCATATACAGATAGCGTACAGATGCATATTCATATAATGTACATAAGATGAAATGAACATATAATGTTCGTATAATGTACACATGTGTGTACATATACAGTACATATGTGCATAAATATATTGGGTATAATTCTTTCGTACAAATTTTACGTGTGCACATGCATGATATAACTATCTATGCATATGGTGCAATGTATATATGTCCAATGAATGTATCCACACATGTACAATGCACGTAAATTCCATGCATGCATATCCATATGTACTATATATGCATGTGCAATGAATGCGTGTACATACATTGTACATGCGTACATACATTACACGTATACATATGTAAATTACATTTACGTCTAAATATGTGTACAATGCAATAAATAAAAT